TTCAGGGCCACTGTCACAGCAGGAGGCATGCCAAAGGGAGCACGGCACTGCATCAACATTGCTCCGTCCATCTGTGTGTAAATCAATCCCTGTCTGACACACTGCTATGGTAAAACTGAGCTAATTACATGATTTACCTCAGCCAGAATTTACCTCAAGCAGGATTTACCCCCAAAGCCAATGGAGGTACTTACAGTAAATCAGCACATGTATCTCAAACACCTTCTACTCATGGAAGGGTAAATGCAGGAGAATGGTGCTATGTAGCAAATTCTGTGGCTCCAGCACCTGCACAGCCAAGGACTATTGCAGTGACTTGTGAGGGTTCCTCAGGGTGAGAGAGATGGACGAGAATCTTGCTTCATGATCAGAAGGCTGGATTTATTAATTTATGATATATATTACATTATGACTATACTAATAGGAATAGAGAGAGAAGTGGCAAAGGCTGCTAAGCTAAGAATAGAATAGGAATCCAAAAACAAGAGAGTTCTCTGTGACTCTGTTCCAGAGAGCTTGGCCCTGTGCTTGGCCCTTAATTGTACACATGGAACATGAGCCAATCACAGGTGCACCTATTGCCTTCCACAGCAGCTGATAATCATTGTTTACATTCTCTTTCTGGGGCCTCAGCTTCCCAGAAGATGAAAAAATCCCAAAGAAAGGATTTCTGTGAAAAAATGTCTGTGACAAAGGACCTGCATCCTGCTGCCTGGGCAGCCAGCTATGGACAATAATTGTTTGTTTTAAAGGCAGGGAGTAGGGAATTAAGGAGGTTTCTAGGAATGGGTTTGGAAACCTTCTTTTGGGACCTGAGTCATTATAAGAAAATTAAGAAAAGCACATGTCTGAGATGTTTGCTAGGCAGGTGAGGACAATGCAGAATATGTGGGCTTGGACTGCCCCAGGGCTTGGATTTTGGCAGGACAGTAGGAAAATTGTTTTCTAAAGAATGTTATACAGCCTTAGCTTCCGTTTTGGGAGTTCTGCATTGTCTAAGGCAGCTTTGCCTCCTTTACTACCCTACTTGTTATAGGAACTTTTGTTTGTAGATCCTCTGAACTCAGGAACAGGCCTCAGTTATAGGTCTAGATGTTATGGAAACCTTCAAGTGGAGTATGGTGGAAAGGTAAATACTGACACCAAGTCCTATATCTAAGGGAAAGGAATCTGTCAAAAGATCCTATATGTAGCAAAGATTCCTCTGTCCACAGTTTCTATATTAGACATCTGAGCAAAACTTTAACACTGTGAAGAGTGTTGAGCACCACAAGTATTATTATTACATTTGGACAGTGCAGAAAGTTCACAAGTATGTCCAGTCACTTTTCCAGGTGAGTATTAATTTTATTAATTAATGGGCAGTAATGGGAATGAATTGGATTAAATGTGTTGGGCACATCTATCTTCTTCTCTGAAGAAAGATGGTCTAGAGGCTTCCTTCATCTTTGCAATGAGGTGGATGGGGACTGCATATGACACAGAACTCATTTATGTGTCTTTCTGGAGGCATTTTGGGCAACAGTAGCCGTTTTAGAAGTTTGATATTGTTACACTTACGGTTTATGTTAAAATTAGTGTATTGATAGATTTGACAGATGCTACCACAGAAACAGTACTGCTATCACTTCCTGCATGCTGTACATGCCATGCAGAGCCTGAAATTGCACTTGCACAACTGTTTGCAGTCTGCCTTCACAGCCTGGACACAGGAGCCACCCCAGGGATGGCTAACCTAGGGATCTAGGCACTGCCATTGCTGAGGCATGCTGAAGGCATAACCACCATTCAGCTGTACAATTCAGAAATAGGATTTTCTTGCCTTTTTTAGCCTTCTCTTTTGTAGGCTGCAAGATGAATGTTCTGCTGTCCTCTCAGAGGAGCTGCATGCAGGCCCTCCTACATATCTGTCAGGGACCATTAGCATTGGACTTGTTCATTCAGGTTGCTTTGATATCCTTGCATCTTACAGGGCATTAAGAGTTCATCATAAAAGGAAAGATAGTCAAAGATACCATATATAGAATATTTTGACTTGCTTATAGGCATCAAAGACTGTTTTCAGCTACAGTAAAGGGGGAAAAAAGCAGAAATAAATGGTACTGTGATTTACTGTGAAACTTTCCCCCATCCTCCCCAGAAATCTTTGGTTTTGAACAGTGTGTATTGCTTTTCTTTTTATTCTGATAGAAAGGATCATGGGGTATTTCAGGAAGGGTTCTTAGGATACCTTTAGACAAATCTCCAGGCACGATCAGCTAAAAGATCAGACAAGGTTGCTCAAGGCCTTATCCTGTCTGGAAACATCCCAGCTTTGGCCACAAAATACAAAGCCTGCCTTGCTATCCTATTTTTTCTTCACTAAATCTTGTTATAGACTTGTATAGGTAGAGCTAGTGTGAGACTGCATCTTGAACCTTTTATGGCCATATTTCAAATATTAAGTCTAGGCTTTTTTCCCAAGGAGCTTATGGTAAACTGAGTAATGTTGATGAGTAGGTCTCAATTCAAAAACGCATGTGTGCAACCACTTGATGTGAATGAATCTCCACTAAATCACAGTGCAATAGATCTAAAGTTAATTTAAATGTGCTTGAAATGAGTCAAGAACTTAGAAATTTTACTGTGCTGGGGCCCAAATCGTTCTGAAACAGAGTGAAAAACCAAAGGAAGAAAGTCATCAAAACCAAACAGACTGCAGACATTCAGCTGACTCTTTTGTTCAGTATTTGCATTGTTTGAAAGACAACTGTGAAGCATCTCGCTTATCCACAAGGCTGTTTACCAGTAAAATCTGAAAAGCTGTTGGGAGTCCACGTGATTTCTAGTATTTTGAGCAGGTTGGTTTTGTTTCCTTGTTCAGACATGTTCTAGTCCAAAGACATTGTGCACAGAAACTGTCAGGTCATGAATAAAAGATAAAAAGCCCGCTATTTTTTAACCAGCTTCACTGGACTGGTTCAGGGGTTGGTCCAAACGCAGAGATACAATCAGCACACAGGAGACTTTCATGTCACATTAATAATACTGGAAATTTAAAATAAGTGTTTAATGATTTTGTTGAATACCAAAACCATTGTATTCTTTTCGCAACATACACAGAACAGGGGCTGATGCTTAGGAGCGGCTCAGCACACAAATGTAGACATGGGCTTTGGGGATGCACGGAGCCAGGGGCTGGGCTGATGGCGGAGGAGAAGCCTGTTGCCCAGGGTGATGCCAGCCGCTTGCCCACGCTGCCAGCCGGC